GATTTCTCTTCTCGTTCTTCTTGTTCCTTTTGCTGTTCGTGTATTGCTGCCATTAAGTCTGCTAGGCTGTAGTTTGATTTGCCGCTTCTCGTTTCCATTTTTTTTTCTGTCCCACCCTCTGACACCAATTTGTTACGTCTCCGTTTGTTAATTATCTTTCCGTAACTTCGTTCCGACGAAACTTTAGCGACACAAGTCCTCACTTAATAAAACTGGTTTATTCTTTCTGAATATAACTTCACGATTGCTCAAATGTTAATACAAATCGTCTACCTGAGTAAACAAGCTCTAATTCAAATTACATTAAAGTTGCTAAAGTTTTTCTTACAAAAGTTACAGTGGGTCAGATCAAAGGTTAAGTCAAGTAAATGCTATACCAGTTAGTAAGTTTACTTAACACTGCTAACATGATTTTAGGATTTTTAAAAATTGCTAAAAATCTTTCTAATTCTCTTAAAATCTTTTGAAATCTGTCTTACTGGAGTAAACCTGGCCTTATACATAGAAAATAAAATAAATAAACAATGCCAATTTTGAACATTTTTTAGCGAATTTCGGTGTTAAAAGTGAAATCTCTGAAGAACAAGGTAATTTTGAAAAAATTGACATCTTAAGTAAGGCGCTTAGGCAGTCCTGTGTGACACAAGCTTGGCAGAGTTTTTCACCTACTTCCAATATTCAATACCCATTTTAAATTAATTTCTTACTTTTGAACTCTTAGATTTGGTTTGATTATAGAGAAAATACCTGGGCACGGTCAACGAATATTCATCTGAAGATTTTCTACAAAACTTATATATTGACATTATAGTAACAGCTTGTTTGCTTATTTGTTTCAGAAATATTGTACAGATGGCCATATATACACCTTTCCTAATTTTGAACTTATAGATAAGAATGTAGGTAGCTAGTCAACCACTCTCACAGCCAACTCTCAGGCTATGCTTGTCTGACCGAATAGTGGGATTTGACTGTCATCCTTATAATGCACCCAGGACCCCAAAGTAAGGAACGTGTTTTTGCGGCAACGGGCCACGAACCACTGACCCTTGGATATACAGCTCGAGCACGCTAATTACGTCTATCCTTAAACTTACAGTAAGGGTTCAAGTAAGAAAATGTTTAAGTGCAAGATTAAAAACGTTAAGTAACAATTCAGTATTTTGTATTATTATCTCGCTTGTATTTTGACGATTTTCAAGTTTGAAAATAAAGTCCATTTACTGTGAATAAATAATTAGCATTGTTCTATACGTTCATCTGTGAAGTTTATCACACAAAGGTCATTCACATCGATAATCATGTGAGTCAGAATTTCGATAGTCGTTCAAAATGCTTTTTATGAACCAATTATTTACAAGATAAATAAAAATTTGAGAATTTAAAAACCTGCAAATAGGGTTCATAAAAGGGTAAGGAAACAAGGCTGAAGATACTGTAGACGTTATTTACTCAAACTACAAACCCCTATTTTGTTAGCTAGATTTTTAGATATTTAGTTTGATTAAATAATGTCACAGTATCTCCAGCCTTGTTTCTTTACCTTTTTGTACGATCCTTACTTGCAGGTTTTTAAATTTCCAATTTGTTATTCTTGTTTGCTGGCTATTTTATGTTCAACTATGTGAAAAGGATTATTTGAAATGGTAGATAACTTTATATATTGTAATGATAAAATACATAGCTTGTAGCTAGTTGATACAGTTCATGATGTTTTACTGTAGCTACTGACCATTTGATCGCATTAGTTTGAGATGTAAAATGTTAAATCGCAGTAGGAGATCATCGTGGAGATTTGTTTGAAAATATAGTGAGTCTTAATAGTTTCTGTGTAACTAAATTCTCTATGTATAATGCACAGCAATGGGCAAATATATACCTAGGCTAAGACACAACCTCCACTAATTGCGTATAAAACTTTACCAGTAGAAAAGCAACCTTTTTTATTTTCATTTACAATTGTGGTGCGAGTTATCGCAGTCGTATACTGCTGTTCCAGTAATCTTTTGGTCTTCTTTCTTCAAAATATCTTCTGTTCCTTTTGTCAAAGTGCACTCAAGCTGATCCATTTACTTTAGAACCATGCTTTGACGGAATAAATTCTTTTTCTTATCTCCTTTTCTACTGTTAGTCTTACTTTAACATATTAAACGTTATGCCTATCGCTTCTACGGTAGGTAATTTCACGTTTAACTTTTCTTTCTCGTATGCTCTGTTTGTCTGTTGTTTCTGCTTGTCTCATACTATTTTATTTTTATCACTTAATCGTCTGCTCACCTTCTAGAAATCTCAATATTTTCGAAGTCAATGTGCACGCGATGTTCGATAGTCTCAACATCAATGAATTATAAACACAACTTCCAACAATCGTCTGCTTTTAACTCTCTTATTATAAAAAAATAAACTAAACAATCATAAAATATTAACTCGCAAAATAAATCAATCAATAATATCTACACTAAACAGTCTTTTATATCGTGACAAAGACTGAATATGTGAGCCAGTTGTTACTATTTTTTGTCAGTCCTTGAATAGTGGGCAGGTACCAGAGGATTGTAAGTTAGCTA